GTTGGGGTGTCTGTGCAGGGCCAGGGGTTGGACTGGATGATCCTTGTGGGTCCCTTCCAACTCAGGATATTCTGTGATCCTATTCCATGCAAAGCACCAGGACTTGTCACCTCTAGGCACTACTTCCACAGCCTCCAATCTACTCCAACTATTATTTTTCCTTCATCATTTCCCTAAAAATCAAAAAGCCACAAGAAAAACAGCTTCTGATAGGGGCAGCACCTCTTCAGAGACATCAGTTTTACCTCTACTTTCTCTTCAGGGAAAAGATTTAGATGTTAAAATTATGATTTATGAACATGAGTGGCACTGAGAAGCAAAAGTTCTGCTAAATTTTAAGAACTATATAGTGTGTTTACACAAAGGCAGGAACAAAGACAAGACTTGAAGCCTCCCATCCCTTCTCAGACAGTGTCTCCTCAGCGCTTCAGACCTGGGCTTGTTATCCTGGCACACAAACTGGCATTCAAGCTGCAGGCACAGCCCTAAGTCACCATGACCTGGGCACAGTGACAAGCTCCCTTTCCTGTGTTAGCATATCCCAGCAGTCTCAGCCTTTGCCCTTCTCCATCTCCTCTGGCAGCAGAAACATTCCATAAACACACTGGAAACTGCATGGTTTGTCACCACTAACTTGTGCCATCCCCTGTCCCAGGTCTATGCTTGAACTGGTCACTCCAAGGTTCCTTTTATTGCTGAGAGGAAAAGACAACTCTTTCCAGAGGGAGATGTCCCTACTCTCCCTCCATCCACCAAGGAAGGAGAGGGCACAGCACGATTAACTCAGACTTTGGCATATTGAGTTACAAGAGGTAAAATTCATTCTACAGGTTAATTCATAGAATCTCCTGAGCTGGAAGGGACTCACAAGGACCATCCACTCCAACTCCTAACCCAGCACAGACACCCCAACAATCCCCCCCTGTCCCTCAGAGCGTTGTCCAAAGCCTCCTGCAGCTCTGGCAGCCTTGGGGCTGTGCCCACTGCCCTGGGGAGCCTGTTCAGTGCCCAACCAGCCTGGGGGGGAAGAACCTTGCCCTGAGATCCAACAAAAACCTCCTCTGAAACAGCTTCATGTCCTTCTCTGGGGTCCTGTCACTGCTCACAGAGAGTGTTGCAATTCAAAAGATTAGCCCCAGTAAGTCAAGTGAACAAGGGGGATTTTTAACCCATTCAATAACATGCAAAGTGGAACATTTCTGTAAAGAAAATTTACTATGCAAAATACGCACATGGTTCTGTTTGCTCCATACAAGAAACAAAACTATCAGTTTTTTATTAGTTACAAACCTCAATCACACAAACTTGGGGTTCAATACCATCTTCATCCACAGGAATCCGTGCCTGCCTCATTACCCACTCCTGTATGGCATCTGTGATGTGGGGAACGACTGGAAAAGAAAGCCAGGCAAGGATTAAAGCCCCCCCACACACACGTTTCTCCCTCTTAACTCATTACAGAGCAAATTACTGACAATCACCAGCCAGGACTTCCCATATGGCTTGAGCAGGGGGTTGTGTCTTTAAAGAACTATGCATTTTTGAAGAGATTATTCTTGGCTGCGACTTTCAAGTGCCTTGGCAGGAAGTGGAATCCTGCCTGAATTTAAACACATGCAAGGAACGTTCCCTTTAATCTGAAAGATTTAAGTACAAACTGTTCTTTGCTCAAAGCAGAGAGAATTACTCTGTTTTTAACTGTTTGTAAAAGTCCTGATGCAAACCAGCTGTGGACACCGGTTAAAAAGGGAAAGGACTGATCCAATCCTCAAAGATCCTCTGGGTTCTCTAAAAACACACCAGTTACCAAAAGCAATAACCATCTTATCCAGCTTACAACCAACCCCCAGATGTATTAGTCTGCTCACCTTTATCACTGGCTACATTAGACAGCTGGACCCAAATCCAGCACAGTCCCAACAAGCAGGATTGTGCAGAGTAAAGATGAAAGACAAAAACATCCAGGCAGGACTGAACTACAGGATGTATTTCTAAGGACCAGAAAACAAGCTTTGCATTACCCTGGACCGTTTTGCCAAGATAGTCTCCTTTCCTCTCCTTGTTGATGACATACTGGTAGATCTTCCCCGTGGTCAGGTTGTTGTCTTTGGTGAGTCGGATATCCAGGAAGCGCTCGTAGTTCCCAAGGTCCAGGTCCACCTCCCCTCCATCATCCAGAACAAACACCTCCCCTGCACACACAGATGGGCACAGCACACATGCCAAACAGTCCACAGCAAAAATGGAAGAATCCAGTGCAAAGAAACGCCTTCTCTGACTGCCACAGCAAGTTTGGGAGTGGCAAATTAAACTAAAAGCCTTATACAACAGAGGACTAGTGCAGTGGGGACTGAGTCCCCCAGGCACATCTCTGCTGGGGGCTGGGGCACTGCAGCCCCGCTGGCCAGCCCGGGGAGCCACACCAGGAGCAGGCACAGAGGTTCGTGCAGAGCGGATGGAGGGATGGAGGGATGGATGGAGGGATGGATGACGCCTTCCAGGCCAAGCCCCGGGACCAGCCGGCAGAGCCCGCACCCAGCCGGGGCCGCCCGCCCGCGGGGCACTCACCGTGCTCGTACGGCGAGAAGGTGCCGGCGTCGATGTTGATGTAGGGGTCGATCTTGATGGAGGTGACATGCAGCCCGCAGGACTTGAGGATGGTGCCGATGCTGCTGGCGATGATCCCCTTGCCGATGCCCGAGATCACCCCGCCCGTGACCAGGATGTACTTCATCTGCCCCGCGCCTGGGCCGGCACACCGGGCACCGCCTCAGCGTGGGGCTCCACACTGCCGGCAGCGACCCCCGGGCTGTTCCCTCGCCCGCCCCTCACGGCCGGTCCCCGTTGTCCCCCGGTCCCTCAGGGCCGGTCCGCGCTGTCCCCTCCTCCCGGCTCCCCCCGGCTCCTCCCGCCACAAATTCCCGCCACAGCCGCGGCCCCGCCGAGCCGCCCCGCTGTCCCCCCTGAGCCGCCCGTGTCCCCCCCGCAGCCCCGCGGGGTCCGCGCCCTCCCCCCCCGCACGGTCCGGGTGGTCCCGCCCGCCACCCTCACCCGTGCGGGCCGGGCGCGCTCACTGCGGGGGTGGGGGGGGTGCGGGCGGTGCGGGGCGCGCGCGGGGCCGCTCCCCTGCAGCTCGGCGGGGCAGCGCATGAGGCCGGCGCGCGGCGCGGCGCACGCGCGGCTGCCCCTCGGCGCCTGCGCAGTATGGCGGGGGCGGGGCCGGCCCCGCTATGGCCCCGCCCCCGGCCCCGCCCCTGCTCCCTCAGAGCCCTCGGAGCGGTTCGGGTTGCGATTTAAACCTTCAACATCTCCCAGCGCTGCCGGGACCGCCACATGTCCCCAGGTGCCGCACCCACACCATCTGTGAACACATCCAGGGATGGTAACTTCACCGTGCCAGGGCTGAACGATCCTTTCAGTGGAGAAATTTCCGCGGTGACCAACCTGAACCTCCCCGAGCACAGCTTGAGACTGTTGTCCTCTTGTCAGGCCAAGCTCACCGCTAAATCACACCCGCAGGTGCCACGTCCACAGGTTTTTTGAGCGCATCTGGGACGGTGATTTCACCACTGCCCTGGGCATCCTGTGCCGTGCCTGACCGCCCATCCCTCTGCTGAGGAACACGCCTGGTGCAGGAAATCAGTGTGCAAGCTGCAGGTTGAGATGCAGACTGAGCTCTGGGCGGGAGCCCGAGGCAGGCCCTGAACTGCCAACCTTTGGGGTAACAAAGGGCACAAAGGGCGTGATACCAGCAAGGTGGATGGACATCGAGAGGGGCACAGGAGCAGGGGGCTTGGGAGAAACAGCAGGACTTGCTCACTCGTGGACTGGGAGGGTATAAAAGCCCAGGGATCCTTTGCTCAGGGTCCCTCCTCTGAGGCACCTGCTCGGAGCTGTTTCTGTGTTACTGCCCTGTGAATAAATTGCTGTATGGAACGAGACATCTGAGGCTCTGCTGTGGGAAACCCGGGATGGAACTGGTGAGAAAGCTCACTGTTTGAGTGTGGGGTGTGTGGGGAGTCAGTGACTCTGCTGGGTCACTGGAAGGGCTTCAGTCCCAGCAGGTGAAGTGCCTGGCATTGGGAGTGTGACTGCCAGAGAGTATCAGCAATGGTCAGATTGGGAAGTTTACTTAACACAGTGAAGAATTTTTTCCCTAATATCCAATCTAAGCCTCCCCTGGCAGAGCTTGGGGTGGCTTCTTCTCATCCTCTCCCTTGTTCCCTGGGAGCAGAGCCACTGCTTCCACTCCTGTCAGGGAGTTGCAGGGAGCCAGAAGGTCCCCCCTGAGCCCCCTTTTCTCCAGGCTGAGCCCCCCCAGCTCCATCACCTGCTCCTGAGGTGGATTCTGTCATTGCTGATCTCCTCTGCCAGCACATTTCTCCATGGCCACGGTGCCCTGTGTGTTGATCAGCTCTGTGGGCAGAGCTGTCTCCTGCTTTCCCAGGGACAGGGGCTGCTGGCACAGTGACCTGCACAGTGTGCTCAGGAGTTCAGGGCCTGGTGCCACTCTGGAGGAAGCATTTGCTGGCTGTGCTGATCTCTTCCTCCGTGAAGGGCCCCTCTTGCTTTCTTCTCTTCTGCAAGTAGCTCCTAAGTGAGAAAAACATTTCCAGCAGCTTTTCTGAGGAATGCTGGTGCTTGGGTGTGGGGCCAGTGAGATAGGGTGACAGTGCCCAGCAGGGAAGGGTGTGTCTGTGCTCTGCCTTGTGCTCAGGCTGTCCCTATCTCAGGGCACATCCCAACAAGGCACAGAGAGGCTGAGCTCTCCCAGGGCTGGCTCTAGATATCCCAGCTTTTCCCATTTCACGAGTGGGCCATAAGACTCATGCCTTGTGGCTGAAGGCAAGTCCTTACCTGGAGGGGTTTGTGTAACCTAGATGTGACCATTTCCTTTTGGACACACAAATCCCTCTCTCAGTGCCTCACTGAGGCCTCAGGGGTTGGACATCCCGTGGTGCTCAGAAGAGAACTGCACTCAGTGGGAGCTATTGTGAACATTAAATGGTGTGGAATAACAGTGACCTAGAAAAGTCAGATCACAAATATCTCAACTTATGCAAAATTGCATCAACCTTTTGGAGGAGAAGCAAGGGAAGGTGTGTGTGTGTGTGTGTCTGTGTCTGTGTCTGTGTGTCTGTGTGTCTGTGTGTGTTGCACTCTTAATTTTGCCTCAGTAAATTTTGCTCTCGCAGTGCCCTGTTCTCAGCTCTCAGTAAAATACAGCCTGAATATTTTCCTTTCAGAAATGTGAAATGAGATGAAATGGATCCGCTCTGTTTATTTAACCGGATTTGATTAACAACAACACAAATTAACTGGAAAGCATTGCTGGGAGGACTGGCATAGCTTTGGGGAATGTTAATGTGTTACTGGGATTATGCAAGGAATGAATAGACTGGAATTCTCAAATACTGACTTGAACTTCCTTGTTGTTCAGGGGCCTACTGGTACAGGAAAAGGTTTATTGTGAGGTTACATGTGTATAGTGTTAAAAACAGTGATAATAAATTATATCATACATTAGTATGTTGTTATGTTAATATATTGGTTATTATTAATGTCTGCAAGATGCAAGCCCTGCTCTGCAAGCAAAAGGTTGGCCAAACCTGCTTCTGTGGGCCCTTATCCTCCAGCTGAAGAGCATATGGGAGAGTTATCAGATGGAGAAGACAAAGGTGCACAAAGCTTTTGAAGCAGGTGATGAAGTTTTACGTGCCATATGGTACAAAATGCTGCTCCAGTTGGCTCAGTGTGGAGTGAGATGGTGTGTCCCACAAACACTGCCTGAACTGATATCCCAGTCTCAAAACCTTGTTGCAATAGGTCACACTGTCATCTTCAGGAGGGACCGTGCTGAGAGGAGGCTGCAAGTGTCCTGACTGGAGTAACTTCCTTAATGGTGAAGTCTGGCAGCTCTGTGGGCTGGCTGCCACCCCACACTGGGCAGCACTGCAGAGAAAACACTTTGTCTTTATTGTTACTGGTGTTGCTCACCACCACAGTGTCTGATATTACATTTAGCACCTGTCTCAGCCATAGGGGGTTGGGTGGGTTTCAGCTCGTGCTCCTCTGAGTGGTGCCTGCTCCAAATGCCCTCCAAATGGCAGCGGTGTGGGTGAGGACATCCCTGTCACCATCACCATCCACCCTGACCTATCCCTTGGTACAGCAGAGGGCTTTGCAGGACCAGGTTGGAATCACCAAGAACAGACTGGACACTTGGAATCGCAGAATCCCAGAATAGTTTGGGTTGGAATAGACCTTAAAGACCATCTTTAAAGACCAGGAAAAAAGTTGCACTCCCTGACATGGGCAGGCTCACCTTCCACCAGACCAGGTTGCTGCAAGCCCTGTCCTACCTGGCCTTGGGCACCTCCAGGTGGAGCATTTTATGTGCTGCTGAAGTGCCGTGGGCATCTCTGCCTCTGAGTACCTGTGAAAAGCATCTTGGCTGATTTTTAAGTACAGAATACTTCAGGCATCTAAAAATCAAAACATGAGGGTGATTGACATCTGCCCTACTCCAGATTCAGCCTCAGTTCTTACTCTGTGGCTGCTGAAGCGGTGATGAAATAGTTCCTGCTGTCTTCTAAATAGTTCCAAATGTCTCCTAAAAGGCTTCTTTGGTGGTTTGGAGTGGAAGCTCATTCTTAGCAATTCAGGTGGGTGCTACCTGAGGTATGATGCTGGTCTGTCTTCTGTAGAGATGACTGTAATAATCTCCATTTTTTAGTTCTTCCTAACCAATTCCCATCAGCACTTGGAGCAAAGCCAATGCAGTGCCAGCCAGGCCTTGGAACACACTGGTGAAGCTCTTCCACAGTTGGTTTCCACTGTGTGCTGACCACTGGATTTCACCTCGTGATTGATTTAAACTTCACAGGGGCAATGTGGAGTCACTGGCAAATGGCAAACACTGTCCATTCCCACTTCCACATTGCAGGACACTCTCTGTGAATGTTCTGTGTGTGGCTCCTCGAGGTTTCCATGTGCAGGATTAATCAGATTTTGTGTAAAGTGCTCAAATCCTTTACAAGTCTACACTTGTGCTCTGAACTTGATCAAGGTTTTGTCTAAGTGCAAAGTAAACACCCCAGGTTACCCTGAGTAACCAAAGGGTCTTGGCAGATCTTAAATAAGATACAAAATAATGTAGGAACGAGGGAGGAACAAGGGGTGTGTGAAGGAGGTGCACACTGTACATGCACAGTGCTCTGCAGCACAAGATGAGGAGTGGCTGGGGGTGGGGGGGCCCAGCCTGGAGAAAAGGAGGCTCAGGGGGGACCTTCTGGCTCTGCAATCCCTGACAGGAGGATGGAGCCAGAGGAAGGTTGGACTCTGCTCCCAGGGAACAGGGACAGGAGGAGGGCAAATGGCCTCAAGTTGTAGCAGGGAGGTTTAGATGGGATATTAGGGGAAATTTCTTCACTATAAGAGTGGTGAAGCATTGATACAGGTTGCCCAGGGCAGTGGTGGAGTCACTGTCCCTGGAAGTGTTCAAACAACGAGCAGCCGTGGCACTTCATCACATGGTTTGTGAACATGGTGGGATTCGGGCAAAGGTCGGACCTGACGATCTTGGAGGTCTTTTCCAGCCTTAAGTGTTCCGTGGTTCTGTGTTCTGTGGTAGCTCTTGCCCTCTTGCCTTGGCGTGTGTCCTCTCCAGAGATCTCCACTAGATGGTGGAATGCACCAGTAAAAGAGTTTCTGCAGTAACAAAGGAGGCAGCCAGGCGGTGGTGACACCGTGGGGACCTCAGAGCCGCGCTCAGGACCGGGGACTGGAGCACCGCATGCACCCTGGATTCTTTCAGGCAGGGGTTTTTCACCTTCAGGCCCCTTCCTATCTACTTCTTTCTCTCCGTGGCAAAGAGCTGTCTTTTTCCTGGGAGACAAGGAGCTGAACTCACTGAGGTGCTGCAGAGCTCACCCATACCAGGAAGGGAGTGTTTTGGCCAGAGAGCTGTGACCTGACGTGGAGACAGCAGCGAGCAGAGCTGGCTGAGAACGGGACAGTGCATCACCAGAGGAGTGGTGGGAGGGGAAAAGACATTATACAGGTGCAGAAGAAGTGTGATGGAGTGTTGGAGTGAGAGCAGCTCTGTCCTCAGCCCTGGGAGGTCATGTCACTGCTCTGTGCCTCAATTTCTCACGTCTAAGCTGGAGTCAAGGATTCTGACCCTTTTGGGACACTCTTTTTTTATCTACAATAACAGAGCTGTCAGAGCTCTCTGGTTTCGTTACTGACTCTGCTGGTGACTCGTGGTCTTCTGAGACTGTCCAGCAGTGGAGGGGCTGACCCTGCACTGTCCTGGGTCCCTCATTTGGGTGAGGGTTGCATCTCCTCCACACAAACAGGGGGGACAGATGCTGGTCGAGCTGCTGGCCACTGTTTGGCCAGGCTGGTGAGGGTGCAGCTGCAGCCCCTCATGTTCACAGAAAGACTTATGCAGATATGATGAATGACACAGAATGAGATGTTTTCCTTTAAAAATGGAGTCTCCCTCTCTGATGGGGGCTTTGCCAGGAGGGGCTGGAGGGGGCTTTGCCAGGAAAGCTTCATCTAGTGGAAGTTGTCCTTACCCACGAAGGATGGAATGAGATGACCTTTAAGGTCCTTTCCAATCCAAACCATCCTGTGATTTTGTGATTCTGTGACACCTTTTTTTCTGAGAAGAGAGGCCAGACAGACCATCTGAAGCCTAAGGGGTGTCCTCAGCTCCTCCAGCACTCTGGGTTTCCAGCTCATGGGTTCTGGAGAGGCAAGGCCAGCTGCCATGCACGGGGTGTTACAGAGGCGTGCAAGGACAAGAGGCAGGATAGTCAAGAGCTGTTTCTCTACCTGCATGACTGAGCAAAATTTAATTACCTCTGCTCCCAGGAGAGCTGCCTGGCCCCGCTACATGAACCATGAGATTTAGGTTTCCAACAATCCGCAGGGCTGTGATGGGCCTGCGAGTCCTGTGGCCTGGTAAGGTGCCTCTGGGAGTGACCATGGAAAGCTGGGACAAGGACTCCATAGTGAGCTGTTCAAGAAAAAGAATGGTGTAGGGAAAAGAGACCATGCTGCCCACAGAGAACATGCTGGCTTGGCTGGGGTATGCACTCAATCAGCTGCCTCTGATGTTTTTAGCCTGTCATATTTCCATATTTTCCTCAGCTTCTTTGATGTTGGGAGCTTGCCCATCTGGGGGATTTCTCTGGTATCTCTCAGACCAGAGCCCAAATCTTCATGCGCTGACTGTTGGGTTTGTATTTTCAAGACAAATTTTATCTGCTGTCAGGTAACACCTTCTGTTCTTCTTGACCAAGGAGACTAATTGTTCCCTCTCCTTTTAACAGCAAGAGGGAGATGTTATAAAATTATCTCACAGAGCTGCTCTTCTGTGGTGGTCGTGGTAATGAACTGAGTTTTCAAGAAGAGGCTTGGTACTGAGAGCTGGAAGGATGAGGTGAGAGACCTGCAGGAATGTTTGTGGAGGTGACTTCACCCTGGGATGGCAGGGTGTGCCTGCAGGTTCCACAAGCAAACCCAAGCCATCCCTGCTACTTGTGCCCTTGTCAGTCCTGCATGTCTTGCTGTTGTGATGAAGTGCAGGACAGCTTGTCTGTCTGGGCATGTGGTAAATGGGCAGAATTGCTGTGGGGGGACCTGCTTGGGGACCAGAAGGTCACTGCCAGGCACAGAACAGGGGTCAGTGCAGGGCAAGGCAATGCAGTCACTCAGGAAGGGTCAGATTTAGCAAATCTGAAGCAAGAGCTCTGCAGGGCAGGAACACTCAGCAAAGCACCGAGGTGCCAAGAGGCTAAACAGGTTTTGGCCTCGTTATTTGCAGTGTACAATACATAAACAGAGTGTGGCCAAGGTTTACTTTAGTGCCTGCTCTTTGTGCCAGCCAGGAGTGCCAGGCCCAGAGGAGGAGGTGAGACACTGCCCAAACACAGGTGGAGGGGTCACATCTCTCCCAAACAATTCATATCCTCAATGAAAAAGTCAGAGAAAAGAATAAATGTGTTCCTCTGTGACATTTTTCCTTGAATTAAAACATACACCAGGCTTATCGCTCCCCCAGCACCTTTTTGGCTCCCATCACATCTCAGCCTTGATCCAAGAGGAACATTTTGAGGTATGTGCTGCAGGAAAGGTCTGTGTGTGACCATGTGCAGGATATCCAGTACTGAATGACAAATTCCAGGCCAGGACTCCAAGCTGAGCCCTCTCCCCCCGTGGGGACTGGGAGCCATCTGGTCACATCTGGGTTGTCCCACACAGAGGCCACCAGTGCTGGTAAATCAGGTGACACCATCCACAGCAGACTTGTGTGTCCCAGGAAACCCTGGGAGGGAACACCAGAATGCCAGAGGAGCTTTGGGGATGTGAAGTTACACCTGTCCCTAATTCAGGATGCTTTTGTGGATGTGCCAAAGACTGGAGTTGTTTTTAAATACTGTTGCTCTGCCACATGACTGCAAGTGTTCCACGAGCTCACTGATCACAGGAAACAGCCCAGCTGGAGCTCACCTAAAGCTCTGTCCACATGCTTCATTTTTCTGTTCCTGTCTCTACACCTATACTGGCAATATTTGCATTGTAATGATTGAACTCAACACTTGCCTGCTGGCAAAGGTGATTTCTGCATAACCAGAGAATATTTTAGCCTTCCTATTCCTCTGGGAATAGTCTCACCTCAGTGTGGGATTCAGTTCTCAAGGCACAGGGAGCTGCTTTGTCCCAAAAATACAGGGGAAATTTTGGAGCTGCAAACGGGTACTGAGGTGCAGGAAATACCTTTTAGGGACCAGCATCAGCCAGACCACTCTGGGGGAATGTTGGGTTCTCCCACAAGTCTGAAAAAGGAAGGAGAAGGACTCCTGGTGACAGGGCAAGGGGGAATGGCTACAGACTGACAGAGGGCAGGATTAGGTGGGATATTGGGGAGAAATCCTTCCCTGTGAGGGTGGGCAGGCCCTGGCCCAGGTTGCCCAGAGAAGCTGTGGCTGCCCCACCCCTGGAAGTGTCCAAGGCCAGGTTGGACGGGGCTTGGAGCACCCTGGGCTGGTGGAAGGTGTCCCTGCCCACGGTCTCATCAAGATGAGATGATCTTTGAGGTCCCTTCCAACCCAAACCATTCTGTGGTTCTGTGATCCTGTGATCCAGGCACGAAGGCACTCAGTGTTTTGCTGAAGGCCCCACAGGCTTTCAGGCAGAGTTAAGGGGTGAGATCAGATCT